AAGAAGAAGAAGAAGAAGAAGAAGAATCGATATCGCAGTTGAACTGACCGGCCCCAGGTGATTCGGAACTATGAACTGACCGGCCCCAGGTGATTCGGAACTATTCATTCTCGTCATCTGATTTGGGCTGGATTCGAACTTGGGTCTGCATTTCAAAAAAGTTTGTGGGTGTACCAACTGAGCTAGGCTCGTCGGTAGATTTCCAACAACGTGCTTTTTCTCATGCTTCCAGAACGTTTGCATCCTCGACCAAAGGATATCTGCATCCCCATCTCTTCTTCCAATGCCCCTGTTTGGGTCCCCTCTCTATTATCTTCATATATGTATATGTATGTATCGCACATGTCATGCCGGGAAACACCAGTAGTTATTCACTATGAGAGGGTGATGCTTGTGCCGGAGGGGATCTGGCCCTGATTTGGGAGAATCTGGGAGCGAGTTGGAGTAGGGAAGGGATTGGTGCTGTTGTCATGGACTTGTATAAAAAACCTGAGAGAGCGCATGTGAGCCAAGGGGGGAGGACTGGAGAGGCATATATCGCTGCCCATGGAGCGTCCAGCATAGGGGGGGGTCTTCAACCGGCAGCCGCCAAGCTTTTCGGAGCCGATACTCGGCGGAGTTCCCAGCATATATCCGCCAGCAGCACACTTTCTTTCTTTTTTGGCTGGCTCTGCCCGCCATTGTGGTCCGGTAGGGCGAGCGCCAAAATTTGTGTAGGCAACAAGGTGCGTTTTCAGCAAGGTTGGGGCCGAGTACTGGCGGGGTTCCAAAAAAAAAAAAAAAAAAAAAAAAAAAAAAAAAAAAAAAAAAAACAAGTTTTTTAAAAAAAAAAAAAAAAGGCGACTGCTGGTCTGAGATAGTCGGCGGTTTAAAGGATGTGGTGATGACAGAGGGAAATTTCAGTTTCTTTTTTTTTTTTTTTTCATAAAGGACCCCAGCAGTGTATCTGCAAGGGTCCCAACATCTGGAGAGACGTTGAGCAAAATTCGTAATTTCAGTTTCTCTGTGGCATGAACCTCCTTCCCATCTTTGACAACGCCGTTGAGCGCACAACTGGCAAGCAAGCATTGTGTGTAGGAAAGGGGGAGGGGGGGCAGGGGAGGAGGTGGGGAGGAAGGTAGTTGCGCATTGGAAGGAAGGAAGGCCTATCGCATATGTTCTTCTTCGCCGAGATGAAATGAGCACGCACTGGAGTCATTATTACCCCCTTTTCATAAAAGGGAAGCAATCAATCAACGCTGTTCAGCCAGGTCGGGAGGGTTGGTAGAAAAGGTAAGCTGACCCGCAGCGGAATAGAATGGAGCGTAGGCAATGATGGGTCATAATTGACTCTTGGAATCGCCGCCCAAAACATTTGACTCGTCAGCGAAAGGACACCTCCAGCTGAATGTTTCACCCCCAAATGAAATTTTGAACCTCCACAAAAGGTCATCCGCAAAACGTTGACATATCTTTGGTACTGTTCATTTCTGTTGGGCAAACTTGCACAAGCAGGCGTACTTTTTTTTGTAGGTTTCAACTTTTATACCACCAGTCCAGCGTGCACGCGCGCGCGCGCGAGAGAGAGAGAGAGAGAGAGAGAGAGAGAGAGAGAGAGAGAGAGAGAGAGAGAGAGAAACTGGGTGGGACTACGAAGAAAGAAATGAAAGAGGGGAGGGGGGGGGGGGGGCGGATTTGAAAAAATGGAGATTTGGCTGTGATAGCAGTTCGATCAATTCTGGAAAGTACCGGTGTGAGTATATGCCGTCCGTGAGCGGCGTGAGGGCCTTTCATGACATCATTGATCTCTATTTAGTTATCCTTTTATTTAACTTTTTTTTATTCCTCCTTGTCGTTTTCGTGCCATGTGCTGGCACGAGGTACAGCATTTCATTTTCAAGGTAGATTGGTACCGGTACTGCCCTCAATGAAAACACTGATGTGCACTGTATAGCTTGCCAACTCCACAGGAAGCATTTTTTCGTTCGTCGTTTAAGCAGCACTTGTTAGCCTTCCTGAGACGCTTGCACACACACACACACACACACACACACACACACACACACACGTCGTCAAACAGAACTTCACGGTAAACCGTCTGCAGAGAGGGAGACGAGGACACAACCAATGTGTATTGACAACATATATAATTAAATATCAAATAATAATTTATAATTTTCTATGTGATTGTTTGTTCTTATTGTATGCACCTTTTTTCATTGCTTACACTCTAAAAAGTTAAAAGTTAAAAAAGTTGAATGTAAGAAACCCCTTCCAACTTAAATATGCTTTGTGCCGTGGCCCTTTGCTTGTAAAATTGTGCAGGTACAAGAAATTCTGGGACATGTACCGTGAAAAGGTGCCTTACAAAGTTATTCCTGGAGTGTACTGAAGATGTGTGGTTAACAGGAGGGCCCCTCTTTAGCCCATAGATCAAGCCTGCCAAGTTTTTTTTTTTTTTTCAGAGGGCGGATGGAGGGGTGTGGGAGAAGAGAGGCTCCCCAATCACTGGAATGTGCATTTGGAGAGAATTGTTTTATCGTGTGTCTGACAGACAGTGTCTTTTCAAATTTGAACTTTGGTGTTCTTGGACCCTGGGAAATTACTGGTTTCTTTTTTCTTTTCTTTTTTTTTCCTTTTTTTTTTCCTTTTTTTTTTCCAATGAACTTTGCCTTACAATTTCAGAATGATCAAATGAGGCCGGGGTCCTCACAGTCTACCCGGGGAACAGTTTCCCTTCTGGAAGCAATTACCCAGTTTCGCTTACTCGCTTACGGGAGAAGCCCGCCAGAGGAACATTTCTCTGATAAACAAAATTACGCGAGAAGCCCGCAAGTTTCTGGTTGTGGGGGCATCTGGGCCTTTAGGAGGGAAAAAGAAAAAAGAGTCATCCGGGCCTTGGCTGCGTGGATCTGGGCCAAAAAATTAACAGTCGAGCAAAAGCCAAAAAATGAGTTAATAAAACTTAATTTGTTTTTTGTTTTTTGTTTTTTTTTGAAAATCTAAAAACTCCTGGTAGCGTATTTCTGGGCCTGCCTGCCTTTATGTGCTCAAATCTGGCTTCAGCACCCTATGAAATTGGTCATGCGTCAGCTTATGGAGGTGGGAACCTTGGAAGGTATAAACAGGGGTCCAACAGGGTCTAAAGGGATGTGCCTTTTTTTTTTTTTTTTTTGGTTGTTCCGAGTCGGTAAAGGTATTTTTCACCCAACAGCTACTTAATTTGCAGATTCTATGCAACTTCATTTTTTCCAGATTTTGTTAATTAATAATTATATTATCGAGTTTCGATTTGGGAAGGGATTTCTCAGCGAATGGCTACTCCCTTTGCAGATTCTGTGCAGCTTTTGTTTTGCATATTTTTTTAAGTTCCCCTTTTTTTTATAGAATTTTATGCATATTCTTTTAATTTATGTCCCTACACACAAAACGGTGGAAAATGGCAGGAAACGTCACGTCAGTTCTTTTTTTCTTTTTTTTGTTCTTTTTTTTTCTTATCTTTTTTCTTTTTTTTCTTTTTTTTTCCCTTTTTTTCTATGTTACCAGCTGTCCGATGGGGAGACGTCTCCCCCGGACGTCCCCGGGAGACGGTCAGGGGGGGAGTTGTCCAGAAAATCGGACAACTGCTTTTTTGCCTAGGCTGTTTTCCCGGGCGCCCGGGCACCCAACTTCTGCCCGGGTACACGCCCGGGTGCCCGGTAGGGTTCCAGGCAGCCCCAGCGCCAAAAAAAAAGAAAAAACATATGTTGTGTAGGATTGAGATGCAAACCGCTTTTGGCTGAGGGTCACATTATAATTCCTCACAGAATCAGAGATAAAAAAGAAAATAACAGAATCACACAAAGGCACCCCCCTTTAGACCCCTTTAGCCCCTTTGAAACCAATTTATACCCTCCTCCCCCCCCCCATGACAGCCAACTCGAAAAAAAAAAACAGCCGTCAGACCCCCCCGGGCGTCACGCCCGGGTGCCCGGTCGGGCAACGACCGGCCGGGCGTGAGAATTTTCCTAGTTTTTTGCCAAATAAAAAAACGAAAAAAAAAAGAAAACGGGGGGGGTCTGCACACCACTAGGGGAACCCCCAAAAAACATTTCAGGCTGTCCGGAGCAAGAACGAAAAAACATTTCAGATACGGTGGGGGAGGTGTGATGGTGTGTGGATAGAAAGTGTGTGTGTGTGTGTGTGGATGCTGCTGTCACTGCAGCTGCTGCAACTGCCGCAGCAGATGGTTCACTGCATGTGCACCAGTTGCTGACTGCACACACACACACACACATTTTATCCACACAAACACAATGAGTGACACGCACATGAGCACACATGCATACCGACACACACACACACTATGTACTCGCACACACACGCACACACACACACACACACACACACACTGTTTGCACACACACACGCACTATGTACACACACACGCTGTTTGCACACACACACGCACTATGTACACACACACACATGCACTGTCTACACGCACAAACACACACCAACACCCACGCACACACACACATACTCACACTGACACTGGGAAGGAAACAGTAGCAAGGCCAAGGCAAAAGTTGTTCAAATTTTATAAAGAATCTCGTTTTATTTTTTATTTAAAATCTTATAAAAAGAGTTTCGATGTGAACCCCAAGGCAAAAGTTGTTCAGTTTATTGTTCTGCATAACGTAGTTTTTTTTGGGAACTTTTTGAGTTTTTTTTTCTTATTTTTTTGGGCCACCAGTTGTCCGATCGGACAACCCCAGACGGTCAGGGGGGTCCTGGGCGTCCGAACTGGTAACCTAGCTTTTTTTTCATGTACACCATCTTTTAGCGAGCAGTTACAGCAGTACCTTTTTTTTTTTTTCAATTAAAACACAGGCAGCCTAATGTCGTATTATCCAGGCACTTGGGCCTGGTTCATACGACGGCTGCTTTTGAATTATAAAAGTCAGAAACC